TTTATTTTAATAAGAAATAAACAAGATACACAAGACAATAGTAAATGAGTAGTGATGACTTTTTCAGGTTTAATTATTTTAGGTGATTTTAGAAGAAATCTTTAAAATCGAAAGTTTTTTCTAATAGAAAACGTTTAGATTCTCTTTTGAATTGTTCTAAGGAGATGCCTCGAAGAATTTTATTTTTAGTAATATTTTTTAAAAAACATTTCCATATAAATGGTCCCCGGTATTGAATTTGAAATGAATTGAGTTTTAAATAAGATCTTGGAATAACAAAATTATCATTAATGAGATATTTCGGTAAAGTAAGACTGAAATATATTAGGAGATAACGCATGTTTTGTTTTAAACATAAATAGCATAACTTGGTATATATTAAGTTTGTAAATATTAAGCACATTAAGTTTCTTTAAAAGAGATTCACCATTAACAGTTCTGTTAACGCCAAAAATAATCCTACAAGCATGTTTTTGTTTGCTATAAATTTTTTTGAGCTTCCCATAATTGGTACTTGCCCATGCAAGATTACAATAGGAAAGATAACTATGAATAAATGAGAAATATATAATTTTTAAAGATTCCGTATTAAGAAAAGGTTTAACTTTATATAGCATTGAAATATTTTTGGAGATTTTATTTTCAATAGATCTAATATGATATTTCCATGATATATTTTCATCTAATATCACTCCTAGAAAGTTAATAGTTGACTCTCTTTTAATAACTTTTTTGTTCATAAAGAGATCAGGTAGTTTTAAAAAAAGGTTATCACCTTTACTAGGTTTGTGGAACAACATAAATTTAGTTTTCCCAACATTTAATGAAAGTTTATTATTCGTAATCCATTCATTTATTTTTAATAACTCTATAACTTAATTGATCTAATAACTTGATTAAAAGTTCATCAACTAACTTAAAAATTTTAGAAAACTTTCCCAAAAGTATTCTCTAGAGGATAAGCAGTTTTTTTTATTTTGTTGTCCATTTATATGACTGTTTAATAAAATTTATATGACTGTTATTAACTTCATTTAATTTATATGACTGTTATTAACTTCATTTAATTTATATGACTGTTTAATAAAATGCAAAAAAAAAAAAAAATATTCGAAAGAAGAACAACTTTTAATAAAATGTTTTCAACTACTTTTAGCTTTCATTTAATTTTTTTTTCGCTCTCTAATAGTAAGTAAATTTAAATTTTTTAATTTTTTTTTAATTATTTTATGTAAATAAAAGACTTTTTCAAAAAAGATTTTTTTTGGTGATGATCACTTTAAGCAGTATTTCTTAAAATTTTGTTATATTTGATGATATAATTATTGTTTTTTGAAACAGTTCTCCTTGACAGGATCTTACAATCCTCTTCGAGTTTTCCTGTACTTGTATTTTATATTCAACGGCTATTTTATCAGAAAATATTGTTATCAGAACAAATAAAAAACGAATACCGCCCCTCACATTCAAAACCATTTTTTAAGAAACTGAATTTGTTATGTGTGCAAAATTAACATATTTCAACTTATAAATGTTGTGCATAAAATTAATAGAATAGTAAATATCTACAAATCATTGTTTAAGAAAATTATGCACACTTTTTTTCCATTTGAGTTAAAACTATGTTTAACCCAAAACTATATGATTTAGTGATATTTATTCAGTTGGTTTTTAATAACTTCTAGAGGACCTAGAGGACCATTGTATTGAATTAGTGATTAGTTACTAAAGTATATAAAAATGAAAATTGTTTGAACAATAGTATGACGATTTCTAGATAAGGTTTTTTATAAACACAAACACCATTTATCTTCAATGCTACAGCACCTACACACTTTAGCTTGTCGCTGCTAATGCTCTAAAGTACTTTGTAATCAAAGAAATACTAAAACATACTTAAAAGATTTTAAAAACCTATTGTGCTCCAATTGAAATGGAAGATTGAAAATACGTTTAAACTCTCGGCTCTTACATCAATACACATTGTCGACGGTAACAGTTGATTAAAAAAAATTTTAACCAGTTTCATATTCATATAGCTACAGAAGGTTATTTGAAAAAAAGAAAACAGTTATTTTTTAGTAATTTTTGTGCTGCAGTTTTTGCAGACTTTTTTTTCAATACTTTTTTAATGAAAAAAAGCATGTATTAGTTTTTATTTATTATTTAGATCAGCATTTTAATTTCCAATAAAAATTAAATATTTATACTTTTTTTAAAGTTAAAATAACAAAAATTTTAAACGACAAAAAAATTATAGTCTGTATTTCAATTTTAGGTAATTGCTAAAGATGCTCAATAATCAAACTTTTAAATATTTTAGATTAAAAAAGCTTGAGGGGATAAACAAGACTTTAAAATTGAAAATTCTTGGAAAAATAAAAAGAGCAGAAAAAAAAATCTAGCAGTATATTTAATTGCGTATCCAAAACAAATAAAGGAAAAAATAAAATTAAAAATAGATTCGGAACAATTTTTGGAAAAATGTTGTTCCAAAAATTGCTCAAAATTTATAGGATAAATAGCAAACATCAAAGTTTAAATGCTAGAATAAAATATAAAAAAGAAGAAATAAAGCTTTCATTTAAACACCACGCAAAATAATATTTTGATCCCCTTATTGATCACAGTATAAATAGTTGCATGAAATGCGCAAAATAACCGGAGGCCGGATTTGAGCAATAAAAATAAAATCACGGCTCCATGAACCCATAAATTACGTCACGCTTTAGAGGGAGGGGAGGGGGAGGCGATTTTGTGACGATTTGTTACGAGGGGGAGGGAGGGTATCAAATTTGCAACGCAGTTAAATGAGTAGTTACAGCCTGTAAATGAACTGTTACGCCTGTAACAGTCTTTGTGGAGTGCACTTTATATAGTCCAAGTGCAGAACTTTTATTAAGTTGGTGACGTCACTTTGTGGCAAAAAAAGCGTATGTAACGTCACTTTGTGGCAAAAAAACTAAAAAAACAAACTAGAAATATTTTTATTTTATTTTTTTAAGAAAACTTTTCCTATAAAAGATATATGGATTATATTTTTATGGGATATATTCGAAGACAAAAACTATTTATTACTATTGTAACAAATATAAATTCTTATCCGTGAAATGATATATCTGTACCAGATTTATACCTTTTTGTGCAATATAATTAAAATTAATAAAAAAATGTAAGACAAATGCAAAAGGAAACTTGACGCATAAAGTTTTATTTGCCACAAATTGACCTAAAAATCACACCACAAACTGACCTCAAAAACCCGTAAATTTTTTAGATTACCCGGTGGGAAATGAGCTACCGACTAGCGAGCGACTAGCTAGCTTTATAGCGATTTTTAAGCGATTTTTTTTTTCTTATTTTATTCTTTACTAATGTCTCTAACATCTTTAAAAATTCTATTTTTAGTGTTGAGTCTATTATAATTATGAGATTAATTGAACTTTAAACATTGCAATTTTGTAGCAATGTGTCGCTAGCTACATATCGTAGCTTTGTAGCTAGCTACAAAATATCTACAAATCTATAGCTGGTTGATAGTTACATACTAAATTTTTTTTGATAGCGATTTTATTACGATATGACGGTATCTACAATAGCCTGTGAGTCTTTAGCCTATTTGGCGAGCTGTCCTCGTAGCCAAATCGCTGACTTTATCTTTACAAATATCGATAGCTTTTCGCTAACTTAAAAAATCCTCGTGGCCATATCGCTATCTTTATCGTAACGATTACAGCTAGCTATTCGCTAGCCGATTTCCCACCGGGTAGCGTTTAATTTCTCTAGTTTTTAATCGTAATCATAAGAATGAACTTTTTTTTTATGACTGTGTTTTAGTTGTGTAAGATTATTAGCTCCATTAGTATAGCGTTACGTACAAACCTCTGTAAGTGTAAATATCTTTAGCATATGTTGAGTTTGTAGGCATTATATGGAATAATCGCGTATAATATATCTATAAAATGAGAACACTTAAAATTTAATTTTAAATTTTAGAAATCTTTTTTGCTATGTTATTATTTTTTTGCAATAAATATATAAGCAAGATTAAAAAAATTTTAAAATTTATTATGCTTAGGGGATGTCCCTCAAAACAACACTGATGACAGCGCATTTAACCACTGAGCTATAGATAAAATGCATTTAGCAGAAAAAAACCTAAACTCATGTCTCTTCTAAGCTCTACGTGTGCGGTAACGGTGCGCATGTTAAGTTTTTTGCTCTAAAAGTTTTTTTAGAATAAATTGTTTTACTAAAAAATATTGAAGTAAATAAAGAATAGGTATAGAAATAATTGGTGTGAAATATATATGTAAATTGGTAAAGACCTGTATTTTACGGATCCGGAAAGCTAGGATGTATAAGGAAAAAGTATAGAAAAATTTAGACTTACAAAGACCCGTATTTTTACGGGTCCGGTCTTAGCTAGTTTGTATTATTGATTTCTCAGAATCACAATCAAAATAATGACTTTACCCCTGTCAGCGCAAGCTGTTTAAAATATTTTCTTCAAGACGCGTAGCGTTTCGTATTTGCAATAAAATGTCAAAAACTACGTGATGTAATTTATTGACAACGCCCTAGTTGCGTGAGACCATTTACGTTGTCTTTTATGGTCGGTAAAACATAATGTTTTGTTTAAGTTATTATTATGATTGTTTATGTGTTCAAAAAAATGTTGTTTATAATTTGGATTACTTATGAAATTTTGTTTGTAAAAAATATTGTCTGCAAAAATGATAAAATAAATTTTTATTGTCATGGATACCTTCTAAGTTTTGTTTAAAATATTTAACACCATAGTATAGTAAATTAATATTACAAAACATATTTATTAATAGTTTATGTAAATGTTTTTCCAAAAATGTTTGAGCTTATAAATGATAGATTTTCACACTTTTCTAACTTTTCATACTTTCTATATTATTTTCTTTATATTTTGATCATTTCGATTATCACAGGTTTTGGATCTTCTAAATAATTTATTTTAAGACTATTTCATAGTGAAGTCATACTTTTTATTTATATTAGACGTGCTCAAAGGAATTACATAGTGTTCAAAAATAAATGTTTTACATGAACAAGTACTTAATAAACGTGATTTTTATTACACTACTTTCGCTTTTTAAAGGTGAGTGAGTTTATTTTTTAAAGGTGAGTGTTTGTATATTTTGAACTTCACTAATTGAAAAAGTTTTCATCAAAAGTTTATGAGAAGTTTTTGAGAAAATATTTTTTGAAAAACGGAAAATATTTCAGCTATTGCATCTTTTTTTCCTAACTACTAAAAAATATATGACAAAAAAAAAAGAAACAGTGGTGACGAGAAACCTATTTTTTTGTCAAAATATTTAAGATTAATTTTTAGAATTTAAACGTTTTTTAAATAAGGCATCTTCAATCTGTAACAATTTCAACAATTCATTCAAAAAACTTACAATAGGATTAAAATTGCCCGGGATAAATATAATTTTACAAGCAATAAATTGTACAAAATTGACGCAACTATAAATTGTGCCTGAACTATTTATTTAACCTCTTGATTGTGATTAGGTAAGGAAAACTTAGGATTATTTTGTAACTGCAACAACTTACAACAACTTATAAAATTAGTTTAAGTAATTAATTGCATTTTTAATCCGATTGTATTAAACATGAATAACTGTTTACCCTTTTGCAAAATAGTTTACCCGGTGTAATCAATAAAACTTTAAAAATATCTTAAAATGTAGAAAATCTCGATAGACATATTACTAAAAAAATGCAAAATATACCCATTAGATAACTACAGCTAAAGTGCTTTTCAAAAAGATAGTAAATAAACAAATAGTAGTAAACAAAACATTTACTCAGCCATGCTATACACAAGTTATACGATTGTTATATAATTAAAAGTTTCAACATTTAAGAAATTTCTCATAAAATAGTTTTTCATTAATCATTAAATAAAATGTTAGATTTTCTTAAATATGGTCTTCTTTGTTACGAATGACATATGGAAGTATATTTAAAAAAGTTAGTGAACATACTATCCCAGCCGGCATTTGGTCTTAAAAAGACTTTTGAACGTTTTGAGCGGGCTGGGACGTACACAAATCTTTATGTTATAAGAATTGATTTATTTTAGATATTTTGCTTATTTTAATTTAACAGTATTTAACATTCTTATTTACTTGGGTTTTAAAAGATGATTCATTTTTGAGTATTGCATCTAAATTTTTTGCTGATCATTCAATCTTATGCATTACATGTTGAAAAAGTACTTTTAATAATAATTTATCTTTGAATATTAGGCGGTGGTGGTGGTGGTGGCGGTGCTATAACTATGTGTGTATATATATACATCAATGTGTGTGAGTGTATTTAATGAAATTAAAGCACAACAAAGCAAGTCATTGAAATCTGCAGCTTAGTTATCGTAGTTATCCGCATAAAAAGAATTAACATGTACATGATCTTGGTAATTTTGATGGCAAAGAAGTCTTCTGCAACATTTAAATCAAGTTTACAGATGACCAAAAATTTAATATTTTTGTGTGTATGTGTTTTCATTATGGCCTTTGAGAAAGGTCAGCTTGTTCATCCCCGCTGCCAAAAACAAATTCTACAACTTAAGTGAGAATTCTGGATAGTTTAAAAAACGGTACGAAAGATAGTAATAGAAAAAAAAGACAAAGAAGAAACAGATAAGCTACATAAAAGAGAAAAAAGAGGAAATAAACATTTAATTTACCGATCACAGATAAGAAATTGAATATTGATAAAGAAATTAAAAGTAAAACATATTGCGGTGTTAACGAACAGTCAGAAGAAGAAAATTTGCCAAATTTGATCAGATGATGAAGTGATATCAAGTTATGAAATGATGTCAAGTGATAATAAGTATAAGCGATGAAGAGATCAAGGTTTACAACAATAAACAATACCCTGAATAGTGTAAGTACATGAATGGGTGTAAAATTAGTAACAGCGATGTTTGCCTAATTACAAATGCCGTATTAAACGATTTGGATTTTCTAGCACCAGAGAGTGTTATTAATCTAGCAAAACTTTGTCTTCAGAGAATTATGTGAAATTAAGAGTTAGTTAAAAAGCATGCTGCTGAAGTCCAGGAAGTACTTTCCATTAGATTAAATGGGAAGCAGTTTATCACTTCTGTTAAAACAAATTGCGCCCAATAAAATTTCAAAAAAAAACATTATTCAATAATTTCATTTTCGCAAATTAGGTCTTATAGAAAATATTTCTCTGTTTTTGGATGGTGGACGTTTAACAGGTCTAGCTACTTCAACAGGCAAAATAGCCAGTGCACTAGATTTTAATCAAAAATATTTAGTTATTGTGAACTCTAAACATATAACTGGTAAAGTTGGCGATGTAAGTGTTGATGTTAAGAAAGATTTAAGCTCTGATCAGATATGCCTCCTCAAAGCTTGCTTAGCTGTTCAGTAGGGATTCATTATTTGTGATCAAATATTAATCCTCCAGACTACTATTCCTGGAAACCTCAACCATTCAAGGTAGCTAACAAAATCCAATTATATTTTACGTTTGTATATGTCTATAGAAAAAGCTTTCAAAACTATTTTATAGAATTACAAGATTCATAGTAAATGTTTATGCGTCATTGTGGTTCAACATAAAACGTCATTCTTCCAGCTTTAAAGGAGCAAGAAATATCTTCTATCTTATGAAGCAACACTATGAAATAGGGAAGGAAGGCTGGAAAATTTTTGAACAAGTTTTAATCAACAAATTAACTGTTATTTTACTCATGCATTTTACTTCGAGGAGTTACAGATAAAAATGCATCAATTCGACAGTTTACGTGTGACAAAACAATCGACGCACGAGCTACATCACAAAGTAGCAACATTCGTGTCTTTAATAAACAAAGTATCAAGCTTGATCCGAAAGATGATCTACTTGTCTATTGCTATCGCAACGCCACCACCACTTTTACCAACTGTCTCTAATAATGATTTTAAACATTTCTAGTTTCACATTGATGTCTTGAGTTTCATGCCATTTTCAGTCAGTTAAACGTGTTATTAAATACATCTTAGCAACAACTGAGAAGGTTTTCAGACTCAAACCACGACATGAAATAATTTTGAAGTGTCAAAAATTTCAAGCAGAGTTACTGAAAATGACTCTAAATTTGATTTCTTGAATAATAAAAATATCAAATAACTGACACAACTAGCTGTTATGTATTTCCTACTACACTATGACTATTTCTTTTTCGACAATAGCTTACATTTTAAAAAATTAATGTAACGAGGCGTAGTAATGGAACATAGCATTAAACCACGTGTATTTACATTATAAGATTATACAGTAATTTTAATTCGCAACGTTGCGGATCCGAGACATGCTTTCAATTTATTTTAAAGGAGTTTTTTTTATAAGTAGACTATTTAATGCAATTTTACACTAATGTTTTGTTGCCCTAACCTAACATTTAGATCATATTGACCCATTCTAATATATATATATATATATATATATATATATATATATATATATATATATATATATATATATATATATATATATATATATATATATATATATATATATATATTTTACTTTATCTCGTCAAACAAACATATAAAGCTCTGGTATTATTCATTGAGCACTTTTACTGAAGAAACACAGAGGATAAAATTTTTTTAGTTAATTGAGTGGTTGTTTTTCATAACACTTTTATAAAACCTATAATTAATAAGATGTTTTAAAACTGCTTACTGAAGAGCAGTTTACAGGGTTATTCATTATTATATGCGCATTTATTCATTCTTATATGCGTTTTAAAAAAGCTATTTGAGCAAAAAAAAAAATCATTCAAATGGAAGCAATTTGTTTTGAAAAAACAATTTATTTTTTCAAAACAATTTTTTCTTATTTCCTGGTAAACGAGGTTAAAAAATACTTAAAACGAAGACTTTTTACATTCGATGATGGTTTATTTACATAATTTACTTAATGAAATTTACGTAATTTAGTATTAGGTCTTTGCTTAATTTTATTATTAATTTTATTGATTAATTAAATTATTATTTATCTAAATACTCGTTTATCTAGATTTAAATTTAATTATTTATAATTACTAAATAAATTTAGCGCTGGCTCGGCAACCATTTTTTAAATAATTTGCAGTGGCAACAACCTCATTTATATTGTAAGTATATCAACAACCTAATTTATATTGTAAGTATATCTATCTAAAAACATTTGGGCTATTTTAAACGTAAAAGTTTAAAAAATCTCATGACTCTTTCGGTATCTCAGCAGAACATTTGAAATACGCAAATTGTTATACTTTATCAAAATGGCTTATCAAATTTTTAATTATTCTATTAAAAATGGATGGACGTAATTATCAATGTTGACGTCTTTTATTATACGCCTTGTTAAATCGTATAAAAAATCTTTAAATAGCCCGAGCAATTATCACGGTATTAGCATTCTACCAATTTTTACAAAGGTTCTACACCTTTTCAAGATGTAAATGAGAACATGAAAGTTGTAATTAAGAAGTCGTAATATGTAATTAAGAAACACAACATGTAATTGAGAAAACGTTATATGTAATTGAGAAACACAACATGTAAATAAGAAGTCGTAACATGTAATTAAGAAACACAACATGTAATTGAGTAAACGTAAGATATAATTGAGAAATCATAATATGTAATTGAGAAATCGTAACTTGTAATTGAGAACACAAAAATTAAAATAGCAAATTCACAGTCTAAGTTTGTAGGTTGTTACAAAAGGTCTTTTTGTACATGAATTTAAGTTATAATCTTAAATTTTGCTTTTATATGCACAAGTAATAATAATGGAATTGAAAGATCGTTGTGTTATATGCCAATACACTATGACCCGAAAGTCTGTGATTAAGCTAAACCCGTCTCAACATTTATGTCACCAAATTTGTTTACATCCAGTTCTGGAACAACCAGATTCAAGTTGTCCGATTTGTCGGCATGAAATACACACAACTGAACAAGTTGAAAGGAAACGTTACGTTTTATCTTCTCCAAATGACAGGAGAAGAGTTGTTGAATGTGCGGAGCGATTTGAAGATTGGGTGAATCTCGCGCAAACGCTAGGTATCAAATATAAGACAGCATACAATTGGGTTCGCAGCGGAAATTCAAATTTCATCGGAAAAGGAGGTTTTAAACCGAAAAAGTTGACCGAAGATCAAATCGAAGAAACATTAACATGGATTGAAAATGATTGTCAATTAACATTGGTGGCCATCAAAACAAAGATATTAAGACAATTTAACATAAACGTTAGCACAACAACAATAGCAAATTACCTCGAAGGCAGATTGTTCTCATTAAAAAAAGTGCACAAGGAGCCTTCTACAATGAACAGTTATGAAAACAAACAAAAAAGAGCTGAATATGTTAGAAACATCAACGAACATATCACAAGTGGTCGTCAGATAGTTTGGTTGGATGAAACAAATTTTAACTTTTTTTGTAGAAAAACGCAAGGACGCGCGAGACAAGGAAAAAGAGCAATTATGAAAGTACCTGCTTCAAAAGGTTCAAACATACACTTGATCGCAGCTATTTCAACTACAAATGTCGTCATGATAGAAACTCGCAGGGGATCATTTAAAGCAGATTCCTGTAACGAGTGGATGTTGGCTATGTTTCACCAGTGGGTTACATCCGGGAATTGTTTGGAGGATTTGGTCGTCGTAACAGATAATGCTCCTTGTCACGCTCGTTTGCAAAGGGTGTTTGATAATTCACCAGCTCAGTTGTTACGTTTGGGACCTTACAGCCCAATGTTGAACCCGACGGAAACGATCTGGTCCAAAATTAAAAGTAACGTTAAAAATGCAATTCGCATTCCACCTGTATTAGGTGACGGGATTGCGGAACAGCGCATGCAGTACTTAGAACGAATTGTAATTGAGGCGAAAAATACTATAATGGGAGGAGATTGTGCACGTGCGGTACAACACACAACCACGCACTATGCAACTATTTTAAATATGGAAGACGTACAAGTTGGTGCTTAAATGATCAATGAAGCGATTTTTAATTATATAATTTTTAATTATAATTTTTAATTGAATTATAAATTTTTCACTTACTCCTTTAAAGCGATATCTAAATTAAAATTTTCGTATTCTCAATTACATCTTTCTATTTCTTAGTTACAACTTACATTTTCTCAATTACATGTTACGATTCTTAATTACAATTTTCGTTTTCTAAATTACATCTTATGTTTCTTAATTACAAATTACGTTTTCTCAATTATATCTTACGTTTCTTAATTACAACTTTTGTTTTCTCAATTACATCTTACGATTCTTAATTACAATTTTTGTTTTCTCAATTACATCTTGAAAAGGGGTAGAATACCTAATTCTTATTATATGTACGGATATTAGAGATGCTCACCACCTACAATTAGGATTCAATGCTAACTGTTCAACACTACATGCTGAATTTTTAATTAGCGAAACAATTAAACATTACAGTAGCAAACCTTTTGATAGGTGCAACTGGGATATCCTATTTGATAAACTTTATTTCGATAAAAAATTACCACTCTGAATAGTTAACACTATCTCTTCGTTATATAACAATAGTAGTGCAACAGTCTCATATCAAGGTTGTAAATCAAACTCCTTTCTTCTTAAGCAAGGAGTAAGACAAGAATCGGTTCTTTCACCTCACCTATATAATATTTACACTGAAAGTCTTCTTGAAACTATTACAAATCAAGGTATTGTTAGCACATCTATATATGGTAGCTTCACTGGTGTGGTGGAATATGCAAATGATATCATACGATTAAGCTCTACTCTTTCTGGTCTCAAAAAGCTGATAAAAACATGCAATATTTATAGTAATTTAAATTGTATTAAAATATATGCCGAAAAAACTGAATTCTTGATTTCAAGTAAAACATAAATACAAATCAATACGATAACGACTTCTAGTAATAAAATAAATCTTCAGAATAAACTTAGACATCTGGGATTCACATTGGATACTAAACATTCAACTTTTACTTCACTCAATAATACAAATGTTGACGAAAAAATTTCAAATTTTAGAGCTGTTGTTTAATCTCTAATTCAATCTGGAATCCGGCTTGCCCACCCAAGTTCTATTTTCTCTATATATAAATTATTGGCAGTCCCTACCTTAACTTATGGTATAGAGCTATGTGAAAAAAACTCTGCTTTGATAAAAAAGCTAGATGTAATTGGAAGGAGTGCACGAAAATCGCTTTTAAATGTTTCAAAGTACAGATAGAACTATACATATTTGCTATTTAAAATCCAGGATATTTCAAAAAGTATTCAATAAAATAAAATAAACTTGCTTCTTTTTCTTCTTAATAATAAAACAACTTCAGACATTATCTTTTCACAACTGAAACACCCCTTATTTAAACATTCGTTTCCAGGACCTATGCAGTTTCCGCATGCTAAATTTTCAAAATTTCATTTAAAATAAAAAGAAGATAAAAATAGCACTTTCTAAAAGTGAAATTTCCTTCGAAGTTGAACAGACTTTGAAATATGCAATAGAGTGCTGGAATGCAAAAGAACAAAAAGAAATTTTTAAACAAATTCTGGAAGAAAAGTTTCTTAAGTAAAAACGACGAGAAATAACTTTCTTATTTTTCTTTTTACCTTGTAAATTACATTAGGTGTTAGATAAATGAAATAATAATTAAAAATTAATGCCAATTTATTGTTTATACAAAATTATATTAGAGATTTTATGGGTGGTTGACTCGCATATAAGAACGAATAAATGCGCATATAAGAATGAATAAATGTGCATATAAGAATGAATAACGGCGCATTTAAGAATAAATAAACACGCATATAAAAATAAATAGACGCGCATATAAGAATAAATAACCCTGTAAAAATGAGTCTTAATATCGATGGTTAAGAGCACAAAGGGAATATGTCCGACATTAAACATTAGGTAAACATTAAACAAATTAGGTATTAAAGTATGTAAAAGAAATGAAAATAAAATAGTAAAAAACAAGATAGAATTAATTGAGGAAAGCATTTGGTTAAAAGTTATTACAATAAATAAAAATCATGAATTATTGTATGTTTTCAAACTTTCAAATTCAGATTTCTCAAAACAATGGTTAGTGGACGTATTCCCTTTGTGCTCTTAACCATCGATATAGTAAACGTAAATTACGTTACGTAATATTAATAAAATGTTTTTAGTGAGTTATTCGAATAAATGCGCTGATGGTTGGCTAGGTTACAACTCATATTGCTATTTATTCCACACTGTAACACCAAACTTACAAGGAAAAACTTGGAAAACTGCACTTTTTTTATGTCAAAGTTATGGAGGAAATTTATTAAGCATAGCAGATCAAGCGGAAAATGCATTTCTTATAAAAAATTTTAAGAACAATATAACTAAATATTGGATTGGTATGATAATTTATTTTTCTCATTCTACTCTTTGTTTTAAAAGCACGTTTATTAATTTCTCAAAATTTGGTTGATACTTACGATATACGTTTATGTGTTAAAATATTTGTTAATGTTTTAAATAACGCATATTAAGTTTTTTAAACGTTTGAGAAACCTTCGCTAAGAGTCTCACTTGATCATTTAAAAGGTCTGAATGCGCTTCAAAACAATCGAACGTTTACGTGGTCTGACAACACAACTTCACTGTTTTCTAACTGGAAACCGGATGAACCCAATAATTTTCAAGATAGTAACGAGGAGTGTGTAGAAACAACTATTAATGGATGGAATGATAACAACTGCAATAGATTTTTTGGTTATATTTGTAAAGTAAAGAGAGGTATATTTTATTGACTTAAAATTTTTTTTTTTTTAAGGATACGATACTTTTTTATTTTGCATCCTTAAAAAAGTTTTAGAACACTTTTTTCCTATTACTGATTTAGTTGCAAAGTAAATTTATAAATTAATCAACGTTGATCAATTACTTTAAAGTTGTGAAATGAGGTTATTTATATTTTTATAAATAATAACGTTGAACTGAACTTAAACATTTAGTATTCACAAACTCTATGATTATGTAATTTTTGCAAACTATATAAACATATAATATTTCAAGCAATGTAATCGTGTATTATTTACAAACTATAAAAGTTATTTCACGAAAAATTGCTAAATAAACAAAACAACAATGACAACCATTACAAATCAATTACAAATGTTAAAAAGGTAACAATAGCAAATTCTGACAATAACAATAAGTCATAAAAACTTCTTAATCCTGGTCCAAAATTTGTATCCAATTCAAAAACCTTAATTAGATATTATAACGGATACTGAATCATCAGCTATAAAACTACAGAATAACAAAAAACTGAAGGAGTTGAAATAAGACACGATGTTTTGAGAATTTTAAAAATGGCTAAACCTATATAAAGTAACCTAGATAAAGAACAACGTAAGGTTTTTCATAAAATTTTTAAATTTATTATTTAAGAATATATCCCTTTGACAAAGGATTTTGACTAGCACGAATTATTTATAATAATGTGTCAGCAAAAATACAATAAAATTTAGCAAAAATATAATAACATTTAACAAGCACAATAAAAAAACTCAACTTTAATCCAACTCCACAAATCGCAAAGTTCAAAACACACTTTTAGATAACTAAATAAACACTTTTAGATAACTAAATAAACACTTTTAGATAACTAAATAAACACTTTTAGATAACTAAATAAACACTTTTAGATAACTAAATAAACACTTTTAGATAACTAAATAAACACTTTTAGATAACTAAATAAACACTTTTAGATAACTAAATAAACACTTTTAGATAACTAAATAAACCAGGTCGATTTACGGTAAAAAAAAGATAATTTTCAATGTGATACTCTCTCGTTTTATGGAGTCATAAAAGCCCCCATACCTGAAATAAACAACCCTATAAATGCTATTATAAGTTCAATAGGAACGGTTACATACAAAATTTCAAAATTCTTAATTGATATGATTCAACACATCCTCAATAAGAACACATAAAAAAGTCTCAGAAAACTAACTCTTCGCTAAATTATGGAAAATTGACAAAAATGAAATTAAAGTGTTTTTAAATATCATTAACTAATATATTTCAGCTCCAGTAAAGGTGGCAATAACTTTCCTTATTGAGAAATTGAAAAATGATTCTTGTTGGTTTTGCAAAATAAATGCGCATGCGCACATTTTTGGTAGTCAAAACAGCGAAACAGTAAATTCAGCGAAACAGTAAATTTTAACTTTCAATATTTTAGGAGTGAAAGATTTAACTTTGGCAAAATATCTTTTAATAATCATTTATATTTATAAAATATTATGCCTCACGTTTATTGTGCCTATGGATGCACAATTAGAAAAACATTAGCTAATGTTAATTTGAGCTTTTATCGAATACCAGCTTATAAATCTGGATCTAATATTAACAGAAGAGAAAAATGGGTTGCAGTAATTAAAAGAGAAAAATGGAACGAAAAACAAATAAATAATGGTTGCTTGTTTGGTGCTCATTTTACTACAGGTAAGACTTTAATTTTTCCATTCAGTATTTTTTGTGTTCTAACAGTTTACATGTATTGTTTATACTTAAATATGAATAATAAAAAATAAACTCTTTGATTTAAAACTTTAGTATTATTACTTATATATTAACTGTGCGGTTTGTCTTTTTTAGGGGAAAATTCTGATGATTCCTGTCATATTGATTATGTGATAACTTTTCTTTTAAAAAGACTCATGGAAAACAAATTAGGTTGAATCATTTAACGACTCATAAGGTTGAATCATTTAACGAGACAGAAACTAATGAGTTGATTGAAGAGGACTGTTTAAAATATCCTTCATTTTTAAAAAATTACTCAAAGAGCTGTTGAAATAGGTTAAAATTTTAAATTAAATTCATCATAATTGGAGTCATAATTATGTGCTGATTAAATTTTAAACCCATTGTTTTTTTTCAATAAAAAATTCTTCAGAATTTGCTAATGTTATTTGTATATTTTTATTTTTAGGCACACCAACTAAAGAATCTGTAACAAAAGAAAAACAACCAGAACGAATTTTGTGAAAGAAGATATTTCAAATACAAAAATTGGAATTGAAGTTGAAAAAATCCCAAAGACAATTAAAGTTTACAAAGGAAAAGATTGATTAATGCTTTTTCTTTAATAATATTAAAGAAAAAGCATTAAAACTTTTTTACTGAAATTAGCAAACCAGCTTTGTTTGAATTTTGCAAGATTTGTGTATACTTTGTGTTAAGTCAATTGTTAAAACAATGCCTTAGAAACAATGTCCTTAGAAACAATGTCCTTGGAAACAATGTCTTTAGAAACAATGTCCTTAGAAAACCATTAATTGTCTTAATGAAGTTAAGACTTGGACATAAAAATAAAGATTTAGCTTTAAGATTTAACATTAATGAAGGAGTCATATTGAAAATATTTCGCTTATGGATTAAAAAATTAGCAAATGTATTGTGGATTTTAATTGTGTGGCCTAAACGAGCTGCTATAAAAACAAATTTGCCATGTTGTTTTACAAACTGCAAAAATTGTGTATGTATAATAGACTGCACTAAAATAGAAAGATTAAATAACTTAACAGCTAGGGCTCAAACCTACTTAACCTATATATCACGTAATACAATTAAATATTTAGTTTGCATAACACCAGCTGGTGCTGTGAGTTTTTTGTCATCTGGGTGGGGTAGTTGAGTATTAGAGAAAATAATCACAATTGAGTCAGGTTTCTTAGATAAAGTTTGTTATGGAGATTGAATTTTAACTGATAGAGAGAACCCCCTCCCCCGTAAAAATCAAATGGTAGTAAAAGACATTGATTTATCTCGTCAAATTGCTCCTGTGAGAATCCATATGAAAAGAGTTATAAGGCGTTAAAAAAATATCAACTATTAATATCAACTATACCTGTAAGATTTACTTAGTATAATGATTTCAGTAGCTGGACTTATAAATTTAAAGTGTAGTACAGAAATAAAAAAATGTCTAATAATAAAATTATATTTTCAAACTAAACATTACAAAATATTATTTTAAACAATTTGGACAGATTAAATATTTACAAATGAAAAAGTTTTTCTGCTTATCGCTATAATCAGGGGCGGATACAGGTTGTAAAGATAGGGGGGGGTACAAATGGGGTGGGATTTAAGGGGAGGGGTATCCCCCTCCCCTTCTGGGGTCTATAATCAGCTGCCAATGATTTTTAATGAAATGACAACCCAAAATGGACAGTTTCCAGTACCCTTTTTTAACTAGTTTTGTTAATATAACATTTGCATGGATCGACATAATTATAAATAAAAAATTAGTCAAATTTTAGGGGGGGGGGCACGAGCCGGCTGTGCCCCCTTCTAAATCCGCGCCTGATAATAAATATCGTTTTCTTTTGTTACAATTTCTGGTAAAATGTATGTAAAATAATATCTGTGCAATGCCTACCTTATTTCATTAATAAGTTTTTCATCTCGTCAAGCTCTAACTTATAGGTAATTTCTTTCATTTTCTAAGGGTATCCAAATAAAAAGTCACAAAATTTTACATCTAAAATCATTATTTTTCCTTGTATTTGGGTATAATACTTATGGCTTGTTTTTACTTCACCATTTTCACTTACAGAAAATTCTTTATCTTTTTCGCAACCACCTAAACCTTCACAATATTTGTAGGGACATTTGATTTCTACTAAACTTTTATTGTGACATGTACATTTAATAATTTTATTTGCCGTTGCTCCTAAATATGAATAATTAACTTGGCTAAGTTATTTCTAATTTGAAATTGTTGTGAATTTTGTTTAATAATTTAATATAAAATCGACGTCCTCCATTTTTCTACCATAAAAAACATTTGCAACATTTGGCGAAGTAACGCAGTTCATTATTTTGAATAACAAAGTTTTTGAATTTTGTTATTCAAAATAATTTTTTATTTACAACTTCATGGAAATCAGATGCAGTAATTCTACTAGCTCGATGCAATTTCCATGTATTCGACAGGTTTTGAGTTTTACTCACTTCTGGCAATAAGTTAAAGTTGCATTAAGAATAACTGGTCTTGTATTTGTTAATTTTCGATAAGCAAAACTTTCTGAACAAAGATTTGTTAAGATTAATTGCATCGTTGTCAAACAAAGAAGTAATTGGCTCTGATAAAATATTTGTATCGTTTTTGTCAGCAGTTGCAGTGTTGTCATTAAAACTACCCGTACAGAAAATTTCCATGGAAAATCTATGAAAAAACCCATGGAAAAACCATGGATTTTCCATAAATATTTGGAACATGTTTCCATGGAAAATTTATGGTATTTCCATGGAAAACCCATGAGTTTTTTATGGAAAATCCATGCGTTTACCATAGAAGGTATTCCAAATACCCATTGAAGTTCCATAGCTTTTCCATGATAAAATAACGTTTTGTTTTCAAGTTTTATGAAATCTATTGTTATTTTAATTATCATATAAAACCATAAAAAGAAAATTTTATTACGCAACTTGCTAATATTATTGATTTCTTTTAATCTATGGGATTGCTTTCGCGAATTGAAATCAATAAACAAAAAAAAATTTAAATCTTGTTGAATCCAATAAATCTTTGAAAAATAATAGCTATAATGCACCTAAAATATACTATAAGTGATATACATACAGTTATAAACAATTGAAATGGATTAAAAAAATAATTTTTACAGTAAATATAACAACTTACATGTTTATTATTTTATATAAACTATTTCATAAAAATAGTATATATAAATTTGATAATTAATAACTTTAAG